TCCCTTTGCAAGAGACAGCAGTGAACATGAGCATCTTGTCAGCTTTATGTTGTTGCTCTTCATACAGACACTGCATTCCCTGAGCTGACATTCTCCCCGTGGTTCACTATCGACAAGAGCAGTGGTGCCCTGCTGACCGTGGAGGGCTCCACGGGCTCCTGTCCTGTTTCTCTAATCACATCAGAGCTTCAAGGGGAGGGGGGCGGGGGCAGGAAGAGAAGAGACGCTTTACTTGGTTCTCACCGTATTAATCGGGGCTCCTCCCATGCTGCTGGCTGGCTGCTAAGAAATAGAAACGGTGGTATTTTACGAATGAGCCATGGCTTAATACTTAGAAACTGGCTGATGATGTGAGCCTGATGTGCCCCCCCAACCCCCGCCCCGGGCACAGGGCGAGGCAGAAGAGGAAGTTCGCAAACTTAGTCTTGAAAAGTCCACGTTAGAGACTATTTTCAGAAATCCAGGGCTATCTGTACTCTTCTTTCTAGACCTACATGGGAGCCTCCTGACCAGGTCAGGACCATGGGCAGCGGGCTATCTAGGAGCTCGGGAGTAGGTAAAAAGTCATCTGCAGTGACCAGTTATCGCTCTGATAAATCTGAGCTTCTTTTAGCCACATTACTTGTATGCAGTGATGTTTCACCAGGGCGCTTAAAATAGCCTTTCATTCTATGTTCTGAAATTCCTTCTTTATCCTAATAGTTACTGACCCTGCTCGCCCTGCCCTTCCTCCTGCCCTCCCTCCCTCCCTCTCTTCTTTTCTTCTGTCCTTGGTGGGACAGAGGTGGCTTTCAGAGACTGGCGGGTACGGATGGTTGTAATTTCCGACTCAGGGCGTGCAAACTGTCAAGGAAGTACTAAAGAGGGCATCGCTTCCCATCCTTCTGCCGCCAGGTGAAAGCAGACACACCTGCCCCTTGGGGTGGTATTAGCAGGAGAGCTGAGCCAGAGCCAAGAGCACAGGGAAACCAGCTAGGCCCCTCCAGGGGGAGGCCCGGCGTAATGCCACCCATCTGTGATGCTTCCAGGCAAAAGGGGTTTGGTGGTGGTTTCAGATTTTTTCATTTCCTTCTAGAACCCTCTGCTAACATGGTCCCTATGATGAATGCATCACTCAGTTGCTTGTATAAGTTGGTTCCCGGTGCCATTTGTCGAGTGGATGAATGGACAAATAGGGAGTATGTTACACTGGTTGTGAATCTTAGTAATGAGCTTGGCAGTGGTGTGATCTCTGCTCCAGCAGGACTGGGTTCCAGGTCCCCTTGGCCCTCATTCCCCTGCACCTTGCACCTCCAGGCCACACTAGTGCCTCCTCCCTGTGGTGTGGATGGTTATTTCTGAGCATGTCTCGGGCTGCCCATTCTACTGTAAGTCTTCTAACGGCAGAGCGCTCAGTACCCAGTTGCTGCTCACATGGGTGTGGAATGGATTAACAAGTGTGACTCCTCATGCCGAGCTAAACTACTTGTGGGTGCATGTGACCAGCTTCAGCCTTGAGAATGAAAACTGGATTCCCAGAGTCCTATGGATCATTCCCTGGAGCACTGCAAGAGTAGGGGATGGGGGGGCCACTGGGGGATAAGCGGGACTCGGGCTTGGACGTGCCCCTCCCACACTGAAATCCAGTGTGAACCCCCTTGGGGCCTTCTCCCACGCTCGTGCCCTTGCTCCTTCCTGCAAGCTTCCTGCGATCTTGAGTGGACGGAGTCTGAAATCACAGTGCACCTCTCCGTGCAAGAAGGTCACAGCCCCAACCAGAAGCCATGACATCCAGGCCTGCCTTTCATCCGTCTTTCTTCCTTCATCACTTGTCCCCCTGCACATTGTCCCTACCTCTGCTGCTGCAGGTTTATTTCTTCCCTCGTGGACACAAAGTTGATTTAGGTCAAACCACTGAATGAATATTGAGCATCTGCTGTGAACTAGGCACTGAGAAGAGGCTCACAAGAGGAAGACAGGGAGGCGACTCACCTGAACACACAATACAATTTTACAATCGAGTATCTGTCGAGGGCAGGAACCGATACCACAATGGACACACCAACAAGGAGCAGTTCTGGGGGCAGCCTCCAGTGTGCACAGGCCCCTGGGATCCCTCGCTGGGAAAGGGTTAGAAGTGGTTTTGAACCAGGCAGAACTAATCGATGGCCTCAGCAGCCAGGCTAGCGGTGCCCATGGTGGGGAGGTAGGGCCTTTGGGAGGCTGGTCACACTCGGGTCATCAGTAGGGCTGCTTATGTTGTGAAAATTCAAGGGGCGCCTGGGTGGCTCAGTCGTTAAGCGTCTGCCTTCGGCTCCGGTCATGATCCCGGGGTCCTGGGATCAAGCCCCGCATCTTGCTCCACAGGAAGCCTGCTTCTCCCTCTGCCTCTCTCTGTCTCTCTTATGAATAAATAAAGAAAATCTTTATTAAAAAAAAAAAGAAAATTCATCAAATGTTACCCCTAGAATTCGTAGGCTTTTCAATATGTGTGATGCACTTCATTTCACAGTTTACTTAAAAAAAAAAATAAGAGGGAGAATTGTAGGCGATCAGGCCTGAGGTTAGTGGCAGACGCGGTTAGGTGCAGCGCTGCCCATTCCCAGAAGGTGGCAGCATCGAGCCACTTGAGGAACTGCAGGACCCCAGCCGGATTCCTGGTTTCTAAGGGATCTCCCCACCCTCCCACCCCCGCCCTGTCCTGTCTGGGGGTTGAAAGCTACGGATTTTCATCAGATGACTCATCTTTATCTTTGGGATCCAGATTATTCCCTCCTTCCTTCCATCCCGGTTTTTTATTTCTCCTAAGAGTGGCCAAAGCCATGTACTTAGAGTGAGAGAGGAAAGGAAAAATCTCGTCAACGATAAAGTTCATCCCACTGGCATCGAGCATAGCAGGGAGAAGGTGGTAGTCTGGTTTTTTGTCTTTTTTTTTTTCCCCCTGTCAGGCTGCGGCACATAAAACTATCTGAGGAAGATTCCAATCTGAAAGATGAACTTGTGCACACACAGATCAGCCCATCGAGCCCACTGATGCTTAGCTGGGTTTGGGGGGCAGCCCTTCCTTGTAGAATACCGGCTCAAATTTGCTTGGTGCTTTTGAATGCATTCGTGTCCAGTCTCTTCCTTTACCTGCCCAATAAAAAGTAGCCATATGATTTTCTTATTTTATTTTAAAACTGTTGCCATATACATACTGTAGTATATGTATTGGGGTTGAAATCCAAGTGCCGCCTGACATTGGTTGGAAGGGAAAGATGGCTTTAGGAGCCAGCAACAGCAACCACCTAGCGTCCTCCTCCTTCCGTCCTGCTGTCCATGCGTTTATGCATATTTACGCATTCATTCATCCCTCCGTGTTTTGGACATGTTTTTGAGCCTGTCCTCCATCTGTCGTGCACAGCGCTAAGTGCTGGGGACAGAGGGAGGAATAAGAGACTAGTCCTTGCGGTGATGGGTGCAGGGCGTCATGGCGGCGGTGTGTGCCGGACATTGCAGGACCCAAGGGAGGGCGTGGAGGTGTGTGCCGGGGACAGAGGTGGTCACCCAGAAAAGGGAATGCCTGATTCAGTGGTGAAGGGGGAGTCCAGGTTTCCTGGGGAACATGGTACGTGCTGGCAACAACCAAGTGCGCGTGTGACCTCCGTGAGGAGCGAGTGTGTTTAAGTGTCAAGAGACCGCAGGAAGGTCAACAGGGGCTGATGGTGGAGAAAGTCACACGCTCAGTGGGTGTGGGTACAGTTCTCTGAGCTTCCTGAGGAGGATGCAAACCTGGGTCCTTGGGTATCGAACCCCAACCTGCTGTGGATAAAGCCCGTGTGGCCTGAGGACACACATTCCTCATGGTGTGGGTGTTCCTAAAGAGGGGGACCACGGACACCATGGCTCCCCCTTCAAGGCGCTACCATATTCAAATGCCTCATAAGATCCAAGTGCATTTGACTGTCAGACAACGGTTTAAAGCTGAGACTGTCGTGGAAAAATCCTTCCTATGGTTAAATGAAATACCACGAAGTAGTTGTGTGTATTATGATCTATTTAAATCCAAGAAAATTATACAAAACTATATATATATACACATATGTATGGAAAAGGCATTCAGAACAGTCTCCAGACTTTTCCAGGTGTAGTCACCATACAATTAATAACAACTATCTCCTCAGGGTGGGTAATGAATTTGAACAGAGGGTAATGAATTTGAATGGAAAGGCCAGATGCACGATTAATTTGTGTGACTTACACATTTTTTTTTTTAAGATTTTATTTATTTATTTGACAGAGAGAGGCACAGTGAGAGAGGGAACACAAGCAGGGGGAGTGGGGGAGGGAGAAGCAGGCTTCCCGCCGAGCAGGGAGCCCGATGTGGGGCTCGATCCCAGGACCCTGAGATCATGACCTGAGCCGAAGGCAGACTGAGCCACACAGGCGCCCCAACTTACACATTTTTTTAAAGAATGTGAGTAAGCACTGTCTGCAAGGTTGAGGGAAAAGCAGCCTGCTTGAACAGAGCCCCAACTTCAACCTCTCTACATCCTCTTGAGCCCTTCCTGATGCGGGACTCAGCACGTAGCTGACATATTTATGGTTCTTCAAAATTTACGAGTATTTTCAGGCATTCATTTACTCGAATCTTCCCAACAGCCCTTGGACAGATTTTTATTGCCTCTACTTGACAGATAAGCCAACAGCTGCTAAGAACAGGTAAGGGACTTGCCTTGGCTCCTAGAATTCACGGAGTAGGAGACAGATTCAAATCCAGGCCTTCCAAATCTGAAGCCTAGCGCTCTTGCCACTTCGCCAAGTGGAAAGCCATTAATACCTGCTGGTATGAATTAACGTTCTTATCGCTGCTTTATAAGGAGCGCTTTGTTCCAGTTGGGTTTCCAAGTGGCATTGGCCAGCCCACCTGCTTTCGTGAAGGGCAGCCGTCTCTGTCCATCAGCTGAGAAGGTTTGTATTGCTGTCTTCTGGATGCTTCACATCCCCACCCATCGATTTCTTTTCCTGTTCTCTTTCCTCAGAGAGCCTTTCCATAAGCTGCTGGCCCAAGGCCTTATCAAGGGGCAGACATTCCGCCGACCATCAGGACAGTATCTCCAGAGAGAGGAAGTAGATCTCACAGGTAAGAAAAATGCCCATCTGGACCCATCCAGGTACATCAGGCTAAAGCAAGTGTTTGCCCGGGGCCTCGGCTGGGTGGAAAATCCAGGGTCTCCAGGCCTCTGCCTGCTGTGGGCCGGTGTCCTCTGAAGGCTGGAGCCAGGATGGCTGCCCGCCCATCGGCCCCAGCCCCATCCAGCGTCCATTTGCTTCTGGCGGGGTTTTCGTTTGTATGTAACCCAAAGTCAGCCGGGGCATCACCTCATGTCCTCGCTCATGTTTGACATGGCGTCTCAGGAACAGAGCCCTGAGACCCAAGAGGCGCTCTTCTAAGGCTGGGGTATCCCAGCACTTCTCCCTAGGTGGTCTCAAGGCGCATGTCAGCCCCTCGGGGCCACCCCAATACTGAACCCCTTCAGCACCCTGGAGCAGCCCTGTCTGGCACTCCCCTGACTTCCCTTGCACTTTTGCTCAGGGGTAGTTCCTCACAGCAGATCTTGAGGTGGCACCGTGACGATGTCATGTGCACCCAGCCTACCGATGAAATCAGTAGAAAATGGGAGTGGGGGTACATAGGGGCACCATTCAGCTTAGAAAACCCAGGGCACAACAGAGGCGATCATGTAAACCCAACAACCCCCTAATGGTAGGCAGCGTCCCAAAACAAACACTAGAGAAAAGATTTAGGTGGAAGCCATCAATGGAATTACCTAATTAATGCAGTAATATATCAGGGTTTGGAATGGTCCGAGGGAGAAAAAGAAGCTGGAAGAGCAGAAATTGTTTCGCCAACACGGGCCAGAGGGGAAAGGAGCCAAATCCAAAGGGCACATTTCAGTTGGTAGTGAAGTGCTGTCTGTGTTAAGGGCAGGACTGCCATGTACAGTTGTGCAGCGTGTGCACTGCCCAAAGGCACCCAGCCAAGGGGGTGAGCAGGGCCTGAAATCCAGCCTCTTGCCACACCATACACTCAGGGCCACATTTGCCAAGAGAGGGCACCTTTTTCCTACTTCTCAACTGCTCTGCCCTGATAGTTGGCTTTTTCCTAATTTGCACAACGGTGCTGGAAAGAGTAGCTACAGCCCAGAGGAGGTGTGCAGGGTAAACGGACAGCCCGGATAAAGCACCTTCAGTCTCCTTTGGCTCCGATGTCATGGGTCCAGACAGTGTTGTGAACATCTTTTCCCTTCCCACGCAGACTTGCCCGCTGGGAGAGAAGCAAGGGCAGGCTTCCATCTCCTTAATGGGTGCGCTTCTGCTAAAGTATGGAATTAATTCTTAGGTACATACATCAGTCCCTTGGGAGTTTGGTTGCCATTGGAGTCTGGGACTATCTGGCTGGAAGGAACAGAAATGCACCCAAAGGCAGGTGGAGCACAGGATATAGAGATGTCACCCCAAGCAAGCTGCCGGCGCTCCAGCCAGGCCTCACAGCATGCCCACAACCACGGGTGCCTCACAGATGCCAGTCCTAGGACTTTCTCCTCTCTCCTTCGATGGCCCCTGGTTCCTCTTCCTCCTTTCCTCTGTTTTTCTGCCCTGTTCTCCTTCCTCTGCCAGGCTTGGCTTCTGCCCTGCCCCAACTCCAGGGCACAAGGTGACCTTGGGGAGCCACGATGCCATGTCTGGCCCCATCTCCTTAGGACTTTACGGTTACAGTGCCCGGCAACATTGAAACAAGAGCTTCTGTCTCTCAGTTCCGGGTCCTGAGAAAGACCTTGGCCTTGCCAGATGTCCTTCCTTGTCCCAGCCCCTGGAGCTTGGCCACAAGGTCACCTCATCCCACCCTAGCCATAGAAGGCCTTCTCTGTCAGCACCCTCGGGACCGGTGGTGTGCGGGGTGGGGAGGAGCCACTTCCAAAGAACAGGGCACATGGCATTCCACGTGAGCCCAGTGAGCTAGTTCCACGGAGCCTGCTCGCGAGAGACCCTGACTGGTCAGCTGCCGGCTCCCAGAGGAGACCTTGCATCCGTAAAGAAAACAGCAAAACAGGCAAAGCTTTGCTACCCTGTTTTTTACTTTCTCTTTTGTATAAACGTAGTTTGCTTTTATAGAGCAGGAAGTTGCTTTGTCTCGTTTTGGGGTGGAGAAGAAGCAGGTACGGGCCATCACAACCGTGCTGTGCTCCCGAAGGGAAGGTTTGGGGTGGGGGGTGGGCCTCACTCGTTTCAAAACGAAAACACTTCCTGTGATACACGGTAGAGAGAGAGAAAGGGGTGTGTTGAGCGAGTTTGTGGGATCCTTCACATGGACACTTCGAATTGCTCTTATTGAATGTGCTTGTGTAGAACCGCCTAGAGCCACACCTTCCGTCCCCATGTGTTTTTCCGGCGTGCAGGTGCTGTTCCTGTTCATGCAAAAACGAAGGAGAGGTTGGAGGTGACGTGGGAGAAGATGAGCAAGTCCAAACACAACGGGGTGGACCCCGAGGAGGTCATCGAGCAGTACGGCATCGACACCATCCGGCTCTACCTCCTTTTCGCCGCCCCTCCTGAGAAGGACATCTTGTGGGATGTGAAGAGTAAGGCCCCTTCCTCTCCCCCGCCTCCTTTGTGATCTGCCCCGGACACCGGAGGAGTTTGGGGAAAGGAAATGTCCGGGCTGGAGACAGTAGTAAGGTTTCTAGGAATCAGTTCCATGAAGCGAGTAGCGTGGTTTGTCCTACATCCTGTGCCATTCTTAGCCTGGGGTTCCCAGACGGAATGAACCTCAGAATGTCGGGGGGGCTGCTGGCCATTGTGGATTCCCAGTCCTCACCCCAGACCTCCTGACACAGCATCCGGGGGGCCCCAGGAACCTGCCTTTGGCGAGTCTGTGGTGTTGCTGATGCAGGTTCTCATCATTCCGCTGGAGAACATTCCCCGGGAGCCAGATTGGCTTCCATGCCACTCTGGGGCCCCTCTGTGGTCCACGGAGGCCAGTCCCCTCTTGATCTACCCTGAAAGGTTTGTTCTAGGGTAGGGTCGTCGCCCCTTCCCAGCGCAGAAAACACCGCCCTGGGGCCTGCTCCTGATGTTCCCTGTGACCCCCTCCCTCACCCACAGCAGCCTCCAGAGCCCCCCTCTCAGGGGAGATTTGTCTCTGCAGGGTTGGTTAGATCTGAAAAGGCATGAGTAAAATCTTGTTGGGTATCTGGATGTCCTAGAATACACGGTCCAGTGGTCATTCAGTTTTCCTTCCGCCATCTGCCCCAAGGGTTGCTGTGGCAGAAGCCGCCAGATGCCCGGATCACGGTTATGCCGCATGCCCTTGCCCGTGATAAGTGTGGCACAGGGGCCAGTCCCAAAATGGGCTGCGTCGGAATCACTGGGGACGTACAGAGGGCGCACGTGTGGGCACAGGCATCTTTGGGGACACCTCTGCGGCAGCAGGCGTTCTCACTCAAGGCAGCTGAGCACGGGGCCCATCGTGGCCCAGGCTTCTGAGCTTGTTGGTGGGCGGCACTCTGAGGAGCCCTGCAGTCCAGTGCGCCGGATACCCGGGGTTCTGGGGTGTGACGGAGTCTGTGCTGCTCTGAGCTCCCGGAAGCTGGAGGCCAGGGTGGCCCCCGTCACTCCATCGGGGCACAATGAAGCATGTCTTCAACGTACCCGTGCCTCTCTGGGCTTGGGGAGAACCACATCAGTCATTCACGTGTCTGTCTCTCTCTCTCTCTCGTGTCCCGACGTGAAACTCAGCCGATGCCCTTCCTGGGGTGCTGAGGTGGCAACAACGTCTGTGGGCCTTGGTGACCCGCTTCATCGAGGCCAGGGCTCCCGGGATGGCTCCCCAGCCCCAGCTGCTGAGTGACGAGGAGAGAGCCGAGAGCAAGAAGCTCTGGGAGTACAAGAACTCGGTCATCTCTGAGGTCAGGAGCTTTCTGGGGGTGCTGGTTAATTCTGTGACTGAGCACGCGTGGTCCGAGTGGACCACCCTGCCTTGGGGCGGGCCGCTGTTGGCCTTGCTCCTTCCTCACTCTGGCATCCCCCCGGCCTTGAAGGGTTCCCTCACCGTGTCGAGTAGCTCACCAAGCTGGAGCAGCCGGCCACGTGCTCTAATGGAAAGACATGCTCTCAGCAAAGGGCTTCCTCCAACGGTGTCCACCACGTGTCCATCCCAGATCTCGGGAGGCCGCCCCCTTCCCACAGGCTCCACGCTTCACACTCGGGCAGAGAACCAAATGCAGGGTCGCGCTGCTGACACACTGCATACGGGATGAACAGAAACAGAAGTGTAGCACTGGAAGGGGCATGAAGAGGCTGCTCTGTGGCCTCCTCATTTTACAGATGGGGACAGAGATGAGGCCTAGAGCCGAGAATCCAAGTTCCTGGGTGCTCCGCATAGTGAGGCCTTCTGCACCCAGTTACGTTGTTACACAGCATCTGTGTGAATTATTGTGGGTTAATTTTTGCAAATAAATGATGTGTTCGTGTTACCCTCTTAGAGAATGTTTTATTGTCTAAAATCATTTTCTTTTTTTCTTTTTTAAAGATTTTATTTTTAAGTAATCTCCACACCCAACGTGGGGCTCGAACTCATGCCCCCGAGATTAAAAGTCGCATGCTCCACTGACTGAGGCAGCCAGGCGCCCCTGACTCATTTTAAAAGATTCTTCACTGAGAACAAATCCCTATAAATTTCTTCTCTAGAAGTCTGATACCATACCACAACCTTTGCCTTTTTAAGCACTTTGTGAAGAAAATGTCATGTTTTTGAAAGAAGGTATTTAGGGGATCCGGAGCTATTTTTAGGGGGTGTCACTCCTTAGGCCGAATTTTTACTGTTATTTTTATTTTTTAGAATTGCTGATTTGAACTTTTAAAGTCAGCCAAGGTCACTTTTTTGGACTTTGGTAACTGATGACATTGAAGAAACAGGGTTTTCATGAGGCCCTGGGTCCAGCATGGTCTCATTCAGTGACACTTCTTTTTTCTTTTTAAGATTTTATTTATTTATTTATTCGATAGAGAGAGAGAGACAGCAAGAGAGGGAACACAAGCAGGGGGAGTGGGAGAGGGAGAAGCAGGCCTCCCGCTAAGCAGAGAGCCCGAAGTGGGTCTCGATCCCAGGACCCTGGGATCATGACCTGAGCTGAAGGCAGACGCTTAACGACTGAGCCACCCAGGCGCCCCTCAGTGACATGTCCTCAGGGTATATTCCCATCCACTCTACTCTAGTGTAGAGACACAGAGCTCACTCAGTTGACCTTTGTGATGTGAATGATGCCTGAATGACTGTTTTCATGCCACATACTTCCTGTCTGGATTTGGCACATTATTCTCTTCTATCAGATCATAGAACTGGGGTATTTCGACAAGTTGGAAACTCTTGACATCTTTAGATGTGTTGTTTTTCTGTATTCTTGGCCGTGGTTGAAATCGAGAAGCACACAAACAGGAAGAAGCTGACAAGTCAGCTTGAGTGTTCTTATGTTGACTCCATATTTGAAAACGCAAAACTCATCTTATCCCTTATATGAATAACCTTCGTTGTGAATGAAAGTCACGGAGCCACAGGGAAGGGACATCCTGTACCCCATCTCCCGGTGACTGTTGTTTTGATGTTTGCTCATCTGCAGGTCCTGCCTCCTGTCTGGGTGGTTAGAAGCGTTTGATGTCCCCCTGGGAGAACCAACACTGTCCCAGATGTGGGGGGGAGGAAACGCTGGACAGCGGAAACATCATCATTGACCCTGATTTTGAAAATCTTTGTATCGATGAAACATTACCGTGATTATCTGAGATAGTGAAAGCATTTATAAATATCTTTGATTGCATTCATTTAATTCACATTTTTTTGGATAATTCATTTGCTTTATTGTTGTGTTGCATTGGTTTTTTGTGGAAAGCTCAAAGGGATTTTGAAGAAAGTGAATAATTCAACTTTTATCCATAGGTGACTGCCCGTTTCACAGAGGACTTCTCACTGAATTCTGTAATTTCTCAGCTGATGGGACTCAGCAGTGCCCTCCTGGTAAGTGGCTCTCCTGACCTTATTTGCTGGTAACAGGGGAGGGTGGGTGGCCTCGAGCCACATTGTGAGGTGGCCTGCAGGGTCCTGGATGGTGGACAGAGAGCAGGACCATGGTGTCACCTCCTTGGTGTGGTTCTGTTATCTTAAAGAAGCCTGTTTTCCATAGTCACAACCTAGTTTTATAGCTGGAAGGTTCTTAAAGGTTGTCTGGTCCAAAGCCCACCCCCTCACTCCCCTCCCCACCCCCATATTTTGCAGATGAGGACACTGACACCCAGGGAGGTTCGATGACGTATCTGGTTGATTAGTGACAGATCAGGACCAGACTTGAGCCCCCTTCTCTCCCTGCTCTGCTCTTTTCTTCCTGCTTCCGCTGCCTGCTCTCCTGATTGATCTGATACCCCCTTGGCATCATTAACACTCCTTTAACCTGGATAGGTCAGATTTGTGCTCACTAAAAGCAAAAGTCAGCCTTTTTAGCATAGATTCCTCTTCTTGCCACATGTGAATAGAATTTTTCTTGTCAGGGGAAGGATTTGTCAACAAATGGAGGTTAGGCAAGTGGTTAGCTGTTTGGACAACAAACAACAACAACAAAAAATGTACATTAAAGCTATTACCACATGCCTTTTATAATGAAGCTCTCCCCAAACTTTAAGAACAGTGGAAGAAATTTACAGGTTTGACTACATAAAACTTACCATTTTTAGTATATTAAAACATGCCGTGCTACAAAGCAGGTAAAAACTGGGGAAAACATTTTATAACAAATATGTCAGACATGAGGCTTAACATCCTTGATATGTAAAGAGCTCTTTACATATGAATATAAAAATAGCTGACCTAAAAATGGTCAAAGGATGTGAAAAGAAAATCACCCACAGAAAGTGGTATAGAAATCATCTGTAAACTTGGCAGAAAAAAAATATTTGCCTTGCTAATTATCGTGAAATGCAAATTAAAAACGCGATGCTATTTTTTTTTAACCTATCAGATTTGTAGAGACTTTATAACATAAAGTCCGTGCTATGACAAGGACAGTGGGACAGCGACACACCCCATCGGTGGCCGTGGTTAATGTAACCTTGCCAGGAGGAACTTCGGCTCCGAGGTTGGCATCCCTCCAATTGTTTAGACCCTTTGATTCCGGGCTGCCCATTGGCAGGTGACTTATAATCACAGAGACATAGAACCCCAGCTGTCTCCAATGGGGAAATCGTGAAATGACTCATGTCATTTCAATAGGGAGGAAATGTGCCACCACCATTCACGTCGTGTCTTCCAGGAATCCCTAGTACCAAAAATTGTTCATGATATAACATCAAATAAACATACGATACAGAAGTGCTCGTAGGATAAAAATTCCAGTCGAACAAAAGGGTATGTGGACAGATGTGTATATTCACATATTTTTGCATTTTTGGAGACCAGGATAAATACATCAGTTTTTTTTTTTCCTGTTTGGTATAATTGTGAGTGGTTTTGCATTTCCCAGATTTTCTTTGCTGAGTGTGTGTGTTTTTTAAAGATCTTGTTTATGTATTCGACACAGAGAGAGCACAAGCAGGGGGAGCAGCAGAGGGAGAGGGAGAAGCAGGCTCCCCGCTGAGCAGGGGAAGCCAGCCTCTGGGAAACTCAGTACCGTTGTTCTTCCCACAGCCCGCTTCCCTCCAGGCTGTCCCTGGTCTACACTCACCGGCTCATACCCTGCTTCGCTCCCCACCCTCCCTCCCCACCGACACCCTGTGGAATCCTGTGACACCCTGGATTCATTTGTCACTTTTCTCCCCAATTGGCTGTAAACTCCTTGAGGGCAGAAACCGTGCCCTTTTGGAGTAGGTACCCCATAAATTAAATGGCTGTGGCTGCGTTATGTGACTAGCAGCACTGCAGGAAGAAACCGGGTGTTACCGGCACAGCTGCTTAATAGAAGGATGACCCCCGCCGAGACCTCCAAGGGGGCAGGAGGACCCCTGCTCTGGGCGCTGCACGTTGCAAAGCCCGTGAGCAAGTCTCTCTGCATGTCTCACCGGTCCTGCAGCGCACGGGAAACCTCGAAGAGCGGTCGGGAGTTTAACTCTGATTTAAGACAGAGCTGCTGGGAGCCTGCTTCTCCCTCTCCCTCTGCCCCTCTCCCATGTGCGTGTGCTCTCTCTGTCTCTCAAATGAATAAATAAAATCTTTTTTAAAAAATTAAAAAATAAATAAAAAGCTAAAAAAAAAAGATACAGCTGGATTCTCATGGGGACCGCGTCACTTGGACAGCCACGTACCTGGGGGCAGATTGCTCCCCTTCGGCGGTCCTTAGCCGCCCCACCCGTCCAGTGGGGTAAGAACAGCACCCTCCAAGGGTACTGGTGGGAACTACACGAGTCCGCCTCAGACCGAGGGCGTAGTGCGTGCTCCGTGAAGAGTAGTGTGCATGTTGTCGCTGTTGCTCTACTTTTTTTTTTTTTAAAGATTTATTTATTTGAGAGAGAGAATGAGAGAGAGAGAGAGCATGAGAGGGGGGAGGGTCAGAGGGAGAAGCAGACTCCCTGCCGAGCAGGGAGCCCCATGCGGGACTCGATCCTGGGACTCCAGGATCATGACCTGAGCCGAAGGCAGTCGCTTAACCAACTGAGCCACCCAGGCGCCCTGCTGCTCTACTTTTAATACTGTGATTAAAAGGGGCGAGTTCAGGGTCCGGAGCAAATGTGGGTGGGATGGAGGGTTTTTGCCTACCTGCTTGGGTCTCTGGCCTTCCGTACCCTGGCTCGTTCCATGTGGCTCAGTATTCTTCCACCGTTCTTTTCTGTTCCTCAGCAAGCTTCTCAGAGAGTGGTCCTCCACAGCCCCGAGTTTGAGGACGCGCTATGTGCCCTGACGGTGATGGCCTCCCCGATGGCCCCTCACATCACCTCGGAGCTCTGGGCAGGTAGGTGGGGGCGTCCTCGCTGGACCCGCTACTTGCTAACCTGGATGTGCCCCAGCCTCTCGTGGAACACGACTTGGGGCTCAAATGTCCTCGGGCGTGGGGCCCAGCGTTTGGCATCTGTACCCCGCCGTCAGAATGGTGGTACTTCTTCTGCGCGCTCGGCCCTGCCGAAGGGGAAGGCCCCTCTCCGCGTTGGCACCCCGCGCCCACCCCGCTGGGAATGTGGACGGCCCCACGGGGCGATCTTTTTCCGAACTCAGCCTCCCGCTCTCCACAGGCCACAACCCCACGTTCTCTTTCTAAGAGGGGAACGCAGGGTTAGTCCCACTTTATAGATGGAGAAAAGGACGCCTGGAGTCACGCTGCAGATCTAAAACTTAAACTGGGATTCGGGTCTCTCCAGCAGACCGTCTTTCCTAAACTGGGCGCTGAAGCGAGTCCCCGTGCCTGAGGCTCACTGGCTAAGTGGGGAAGCTTCCACCCCGCCCGCCCCCTTGGAGGTCCCAGTTCTGGAGCCGGGGGCGGGGGGATGACTGGAGAGTGTTGTTTTATTTGTTTTTTCTTTTAAGACTTTATTTATTTAGTTGAGAGAGAGAGAGCATGAGCAGGGGGTAGGGGCAGAGGGAGAGGGAGAAACAGACTCCCCACTGAGCAGGGAACCCTACACGGGGCTCAATCCCAGGACCTGGGATCATGACTGAGCCGAAGGCAGATGCTTAACCGACTGAGCCACCCAGGCGTCCCGTGACTGGAGAGTTTTTAACCAGCTCCCGGGTGATTCTGATGCACAGGCAGGTGGGGGACTGTGTCCCTCTACTGTTAAGACCTGGCTCTCAGAGGAAAGCCTAAGGCAAGATTTCATTTTTTCTCTTGTAGGGCCTCCTCTTGAGAGCATTTTCAGGGCCCATTGGTCATTCTAAAAGGCCATCACTAGAAATACCAACATCCTGTCCTTTAAGAAATAATTTGAACGTTCTTTACCCTAAACTGTCTTCAATAGTTAATTCTTTCTTTTCCTTTTTGTCATCTCTATTTCATGTTAATTTTAATGTGGAGCTACTTTTTCAGATGGTGTGAGGTTTATAGTATCTTCCCATTTCCTATTTTTGGACACTTAGACCCTTTATAATGATACATCATTGTTTTAAAAGTTGAATAGCTAATTTTTTGTTCACATACAAAATCCTTAGAACACATACCTAAATGTAATGCTTGCTCAGAAAAGATACAAAACATGAAGGCTTTTGATGCACATCTTCAAATCTCTGGATCCTTGGTGAATATGCACAAACAAGAGCCTCTGTCATGATTCCAGGGGTTTTGCAAGGACGTTGCCATCCCTTGGTGATAAACTCACCTGCGTGCTGGAATAACCCAACCTGGGCCCACTCCCTCCCTCTGAAGTCCTGAGTGATATGCTCATGACTTTGTTGCTGTGAGGATGAACGTCAGGGCCACGCACCTTATGGGGCCAGAGCAGGTGGGTATGTCTTAGAGGAGCTCAGGCCCCCAGGCCTTGGCCTTGGTGTCAGAGGCCTCGTGTAGCCTGTCAGGACCGACTCAAGACAGTCAGAATGTGGAGCAACAGTTTGGCCACCTTTGCTTTACATGGGACTCCAATTGGTTGCCTAAGGGTTTACAAGTAACATTTCATCTGTGAGTATTTCCAGTTTAAAAACAAGATACACTTGTAAACATTTTGATTTTTTTTTAACTTGTAAATGTTTTTAATCACTGCATTAATTGCCCCCAGGCATGACTTTGGTAACTGTTCCGGTGACGTGTCTGGCATTTGCTTCCATAATCTGCCACGGACAAATCTGGGCAGAGATCTGAGTTTCCACTTCAGATGATGCCCTTGAAGTGGAAAAGATAGGAATGTTTTTAAGACTCTCAATCTGTGTCGCCAGACTATTTTCCTGAAAAGTTAGCCCGTTCCCACTCCAGGGTCTGTTTTTGAAGTATGTGTTCTGTTTCTCTGATTTAATTATTGGATTTTTCAACATAGTTTTAACATCTGGTGTGCTAGCCTCCCTTCATTTCTTTTTTCATAAATATTTAAGTGCTTTTCACCTGTTTATTCTTCTCACTAGAACTCTGGTATAATTTTATTATTAATATCCTTGAGATTTTGATTGAAATGTGGGTAAACCTAGAATTAATTTGGGAAGTCCTTACATCTTTACCCCTTCCAGACCTCCATGTGGTCTGTCTCTCCCTTTTTTTTTTTTTTAAGGTTTTATTTTGGGGGTGCCTGGGTGGCGCAGTTGGTTAAGCATCCCACTCTTGGTTTTGGCTCAGGTCGTGATCTTAGGGTCGTGAGATCAAGCCCCGTGTCAGGCTCCTTGCTCAGCATGGAGTCTACTTGGGATTCTCATTCCCTCTCCCTCTGCCCCTCCTGCTCATGCTCCTCTCCCCACACTCTAAAATAAATAAATAAAATTTTTAAAAAATATTTATTTTTTTAAAGATTCTATTTATTCATTCGAGACCCAGATAGAGAGAGAGAGAGAGAACGAGCATGAGCAGGGGGAGAGGCAGAGGGAGAAGCAGACTCCCTGCTGAGCCAGGAGCCGGACGTGGGGCTTGATCCCAGGACCCTGGGATCATGACCTGAGCCGAAGGCAGATGCTTAACCATCTGAGCCACCCAGGCACCCCAGAAAAAGATTTTATTTTTAAGTAATATCTACACCCAACGTGGGGCTCAAACTCACAACCCCGAGGTCAAGAGTTGCATACTCTACCAACTAACCCAGCCAGGCACCCCATGTCTCTCTTCATTCAAGACTTCCCTTATGCTGAGTCGAGTTTTGTAGTTTTGTTCGTTTCTTTTGTAGTTTTTCTTCTGACTCTTATGCATTTCTTAAGATTATTCCTGAGTATTTTTTGGTTATATTTTATTTTTGCTCTTGTGACTGGAATCTTTTCTATAATTTTTGACTGGTAATGGCTGGTATGTAATTTTTAAAATTTATTTGCATGCTTATTCTCTTATCCAGATTCCCTACAAATCTCTGTACGTTGGGTAAGGGGTAAGATCCTCTCAGATGTGCTAAGATTCTGTGATCAGCACATAAGGATAAGTGGTCTCTTTCTTTCTAACAGTTATAGCCTGGTGTCTGTGTACGTACTGTATTGAACTGCTCAGAAAACCCTATGGGATGTTCGAGGTGCTGGTCCAGACGGTCCCTATAATGTTTTGGCTTTTTTTTTTTTTTTTCAAGAATTTTTTAGAGAGAGAGGGAGTGTGAGCCGGGGAGGGGAGGAGCAGAAGGAGAGGGAGAGAGAATCTCAAGCAGACTCCCCGCTGAGCTCAGTACCACGACTCTGACATCATGACCTGAGCCGAAATCAGGAATGGGACATTTAACTGACTGAGCCTCCCAGGCGTCCGGATAATCCCTATAATGTTAAGGAAGCAGCTCTCTGTCCTTGTTTTCCAGAACTCATATTAGGAACGGGAGCTATATTTTATTTAACATCCGTTCTTCAGTTGTTGAGTTGTTTACATCATCTGCTTTTAACTTCCCCCTTTGCCTTGTTGATATCACTATTCCCCAGTTAATTGACCGCCTAATACCAAGCTCTCCCGGCATAGATTCTTCTTGACTATGGTGCAGCGGACTTTGAGTTTACTGTCAAATCCTATCTGCTAGTGTTTTATTTGGAATTTGGCAGTTATTTTCCTAGGAAGATCAGTTTTTCTCAGTGTGTGTGGTCAGGCTTGGAAATGAGGGTTTCACTGACTCCACCAAGTGAATTGCATTGGGTTCCTCTGTCCTTTGTGGTGCTTTAGAACAGACTACAGAGGAAGAGACGCTTACCCATTCTTTGCTGAAGAGACAGAGTGCCCTAAAGGGAGGTTGGTCTCAGGCCCTGCCACGCTAATGCCATATTCTATCATGCAGCCTTTTATCCTCCCCTTGGGAAGGAAACACAACTCTTTCATTTAGCATTGGCAACCACAGTAAGTTTTTTAAATGGCACGCGGTTCATTCTCTCCTAGTCTTCCTTTGCTTTAGAACAAACCAATCTAATTTGTAATAAGCTTACCCTTATCCTAGAATATGCACATGTCTCCCTTTTATCTTCCTGCTTTGTCCTGCGTTATCTGTCTTCCTCCCTCATTTCATTTCTCCCACGGAAGACTGATGTCAGTGGGATTTGCAGAAACATCCCCCTCTTGCACACCCCTTCAGTTGTGTAGCGGGCGGGCAGAGAGGATCTCCTCTCCCCAGGGCCCTGTCCCTACATGGCAGGTCTTAGGAACCAAGTATACACTGTGGCTTGGCAGGATCCCCAACAGGACACACGCTAGAGCACCGGGATAGAAACTAGCCCATTCCAAACCTTGCGCCATGATTTTTCCAACACGTCACACACAGCTTTTGTGAGCTGTAGCGTAGTGAGTCGGTAGAGATTGAATGGCAGTGTTTCATTCAGTCGGATTTATTGAGCACATATTTTATGTGCCAGGCTCTGTTCTGGGCCTTTGTGGGAGAACTGGGGCGGGGGGGGGGGGGTCTTCCCTCAAGTTTTACAAATTCGTAGCAACTAATTTTGTTTTGTTTTTTTTTAAAGATTTTATCTATTTATTTGAGAGAGAGAGAGAATGAGAAAGAGAGCACATGAGAGGGGGGAGGGTCTGAGGGAGAAGCAGACTCCCTGCTGAGCAGGGAGCCCGATGCGGGACTCGATCCCAGGACTCCAGGATCATGACCCGAGCCGAAGGCAGTTGCTTAACCAACTGAGCCACCCAGGCGCCCCTGTTTTTTTTTTTAATTCGAGGAAGTAATGGGAAACCTTTGTCTTGTGGCTCTCCACATGTGTATGTGTGACAGCCTCTGAATGAGCCGCAGGGTCCATGACAGAGTCAACTGAGGAGCCCCACGCACCTGGTGTGGCACCCTGGTCATTAAGTCACAGGTGCGGGTCAGGTGTCCTCAGGAGAGAATGGAGACGTGACTCCTTCCTGCCTCTCCAAGAGCTAAAGAGGCC